TGTGTGTGTGTGTGTGGTGGGGTGCATGCACACACAAAAGCATGTACACAGCTACCCCCTGCTAGATGGAATCAGAATGGCTCAGCTGTGTGTCATAAGCCCAATACTGCTAACAACAAATGGGGAGTCTCATTTAGGTAAAGTGAGAGGGGCCTGTGCTTTTGGTGCAAGAAAGCTCTGGCATTGAGCTTTGCTTTGCCCCTGAGCCTCTGCAGAAGAGGCGGCAGCCATGGGCTTGATTTGTCCAAGGATTTGAGCCCTCCCAGCTCCCTCTACAGTCCAGAGGAGCCATGGGGCCCTGGAGCCAGCTGATAGCTATTAAAGGTCTCGTGTGAGTGGAAGTGATGGCCTCATGTACCAATCGATGGCTGTTAGCCATGGCTGGGAGCTGGACCTCTGGGAGTGTAGCCATTGCAGGCTTAGCTTAGCCTGCCCAGCCATCCCCTCGTATCCTTGAGCAGCAGGTACCGAGGAGCCAGAGCTGCATTCTGAGGGGCTGCCCGCACCTTAAATTCAGCCCCCACGCTCCTGCCAGCTCCCCGGCCAATCCGCTCCATCCTTCACTCAAAAAAACATGCGCCAAGAAGGGAGAATTGGCCACGTTGCCCCTTGGATTGTTAATCTCGTTATCAGTTGCTTTATATCTATTTAAGATGGGAGATGGTGGGGGAGGGACCATCTCCCATCTGGTTGACTGGTCCAGTGTGACACTGCATGGGCTGTTCTCGTTAGGCCTTCAAAAGGTTTCCTTCTCCTGCCCTCCCCTTTGAAGCGAGACAGATCTCCCCCACTATCATGCCCGGGAAGAATTCATTAGCGTTCACTCATTACATTTGTCTGAAGATCAATATATTTCGCCAGCTGGTACTTGGCTGGGGTGGGGTTTTTTTGGTTATTAATTTAATAGATTTTCTTCCTTTTCTGCTGGCAGCTGGTGTTTGTCTTCGGGGGTGAGAGGGACCTCATCAGAAATGCAGATCGGTGAACCACGAAATCCATCCCCCCTTGGCCACATGTCGCTCATCTCCCTAGGACACACATGGCCACTGCCTGGCCTCTCCCTGTGACCACAGCTGGGTAGGCGATCAGCTGATGCCATTGTCTCCTGTCCATCCTCTCAGGATATGGTGCTAGCTCTTAAGAGTGGCCTGCTAAAGGCAGCGTGAGCAGCCTTCTGGCCTTGGTAAGAAGGAGCCAGGGATCTAGCAGAAGGGCAGATCCCAGTGAAGGAATGCTGAGCGGCCAGCACGCTTGTCCTTGGTGCTTTAAGGTGAATAACAGGGAGGCCCTGGCTTGCAGCGAGAATTAGTGGCTTGTACCACAAAGGACAGAGGGGTGAGAGCAGACTCAGCAGGTGCCCAGAGAATGATGTGAGCCAGACAGAACGGGGGACCCTAGCCTCCTGCCCTGTTCTCCAGCTGAAGGACCCAGTGCCACAGCCATCTGGCTGGCTAATGCCTGGGCTATTTTAATTTGATTAGCCATTTATTAGCTCAGTATTATCATGCCACAGCCACACTCCGGCTGCCTCAGGCTGGGAATCCTCTTAGATTGCCTCCTGAGATAAGTAGCATCTGGCCTGGTCTTGCCCCGCGGGAGGGGAGCCCACAAAGTGCCGCGGAGAGGTGCGCGGGCGAAGTAGGGGCTCCGTGCTCCCCTCTGAGTGCTAACCCCTGTGTAGGGCTGAGGCTGTCATCGTTCAGCTGGGCTACAAAAGTGATCCCCTAACACATCTCTCTCAAGAGCAGCGGGATTAGCTTCTGTGTCCTAAAGATCCCCTGTTGCCTGGCAGTCGCAGCAGGAGAAGGTATTCCCTTCCTGGCTTAAACAGCCATGTAGCGGCACCATGCGCTGTTAAGCAGCTGCAGGGTTTCACCCCAGAGGCGGCTGCACTGCAGCCATGGCTGAAATGATGACTGTCTATAGGCACAGGCGAGCGTGGGATGATGCACCAGAAATGTAAGTTGCCATCAGGGGGTCACCTGCACAAGATTATCCCTCCCATTTCTCCTCCAGAGCTGCATAGTCACTAGGTTGTCCATCACGCGGGCAGCAGGGCTGTCCAGTGGCTAAGGCAACCAGGAGACTGGTTCCAGGCCTGGCTCTGCACACTGGCAACCAGGAGACTCAAGTTCCAGGCCTGGCTCTGCGCGTGACCTTGGACAAATCATTTCCCCGCTCTGTGCCTCAGTTTCCCCTCCCGCCTTTGTCTGTTTGTCGCCTTGAGCTCTTTGGGGCAGGACCTCACTGAAATGGGGGGTTAGATTAGCTAAATCCTGCTTTAGCTCCCTCGCAGTGGGGCTGCTAAGTTCACGTTTGTTAAAGGTATCAAAATGCCAAGGTATCAACCCTTTCGGTCCCCCCTCAGGCCCGGCCTGTGAACAAGGTTGGGCGTGTTGCTTTTTCTTGAGTAGTTGTTCGCTGAAAGGGACAAGGCTCCAGCCTCGCTCCAGCGAACTCCTTCCCGAGATGTTCGCCAAGTACGTGCCTATTGAAAAGGCCCCGTGTTCTCATGCAGGTCACACACGCTGCCTGGCACGGCTGGGAAAGGCAGAGGAGGAGATGATTGGTGGGCCAGGGGCGGGGGAGCTCTGCTTATTAAAAGACAGTGAAAATTCTCCTGGAATTCCTCTGGATTTATGGCCTGAATCTCATTCAGCCCCTTCCCAAAGGCCTTCCCCAGGCTCGGTGTTATGACAGGGAAGGCCAACGGAATGCATAATGAAGTGTAAATATGTCCCCACTACTGCAGCACCCCTGGGCCTCTGGAGATAAAGGGCGCTGTGCTGGTAGGGGCATGTGCCAAGCCGGGCGTGTTTGCTATGGGGCTGGGTTGAGGTCACGCATGCACTGTGGGTTGTGCAGGGTTCGGTGTGTGTTGCCGTATGGATTGCCCTGGGGCCTGAGAGTCATGTACAGTGGAGTGTGTCAAGGCTGACCTGTGGGTTGGCCAGTGCCTGAGAGGTGTGCAGTCGTGGAAGGTTTCTGTTGTGTGGCAGCAGGCGGATTGGGTTGTGCGAGATGAGTGGGCGGACGCCTGGGGAAGGAGCGGGGGCGCTAGGTTGCGCAGGGTTTGGGTGATTGCATGCACTGCACGATGTACATGGTTTGTGAGTTGTGTAGCTCAGAGTGGGTGCGTTTGCAGGTTGGGTTGTACAGGGCTTGTGTGGGTGCATGCATACATAGTTTGTGAGTTGTGTAGCTTGGAGTGGATGCATGTTTGCAGGTTGGGTTGTGTGGGTGCATGCCTGCGTGGTTTGTGAGTTGTGTAGCTTGGGGTGGGCTGAGGGAGCATGTCTTCACACTGGGCTGGGGCTGAGGGGTGTCGTAGGGTGAGCCCTGTGTGTTGTATAAGGTGATGTGAGTACAATGAAAGGGCAGCGCGTACTCGGAGGTAACTGCACCATGCACTGAATGATTACCAAATAAAATGGAGAGGAAGGAGCCAGTCCTCAATAGGTTCCAAGGAAATCACCCCTAAGGCTCTGGGTCCAATAGGACTCAAAGAAGGCAAGGGTTGGTTTGTTTTTCCTGACTGATAAATACTCGGGTTCATGAAGGCAGAAAGCTTGTAAGCACCAGGTATCCTATCCTTGTGGCCAGAAGGGCTCTCTCTCAACGAGAAATGCTGCAAGGAGTTAGCTAGTGTTGCTGTGTGCGATATTGCCCACTAGTGGATGGAATCTGAACTGTTCTCCTGTGTGTCATAGACACCTCCCTGCTAACAGAGATTCTCCTTTGGCTCAAGTGCTAGGCCCTGGGCCTAGAAGGGTGTGGGTTACATCCCAGCTGCTGCTGGGTGGCTCCAGGTGGCCCTGGTCAGAAGCACAGGGAGAGCCGTGACATCCTAGGTGCCTACAGATTTCTTAGCGTTTTTTAAGACGTAAGAGTTAAACAGACACAATCTTACTGGCAGGCTGCTCTGAGCAGGGCGAGAGCACACGCTGGTGAGAATGCTTGTGCCCTGTCTACGCTCATTCCCCCCGCCATTGCTACCCCTGGGGAAGCTACACCGGCTGTGGGAGATTTTACTTTAGTGGACTTTTGCCTCACTATTGCCCAGGGGCTCTCAGCCTTCTGTGTAACATATGGGAACCCAGAGGGCAGCAATCGGGCACAGGTTCATCACACTGAGACCCCTCGCTCTCAAAGCACGTCGGGAAGGTGGGGCTGAGTCATCGTCTTCCTTTTCCAAATGGGGAAACCGAGGCCCAGAGGTGGGACCTAGCGCCACCGTGCGTCCGTGGCAGGGTCGGGATTAGGACACAGGTTTCCTATTGCCCAGCTGTGGCTCTAAGCACTCAACAAGACTGCCTCTCCTTTGGGAACCTGGGGGCTGCATCCGGCCCTTAGTTTTCATTGGATCCACAGTCTCGTGTTACAAAATGATAACCTGAGAGGAAGGAGCAGACGGGTTATTTATTATTACTGTTGTTGTAGGTTTCTCCAGACAAATCCTACCAGGGGCCAGAGATTAAATAACTCCCCCCCCCCCACCATCCCCTCACCCTTTGCCAGCCTGGCCTCTGAACTTCACTGAGACATTTGCTCGTGGCCAGCCGTGCCCGGCAAAGGGTGCTAAGGATCGTTGGTGTTTGCCCAGCACTCCTTGGCAAAGCCAGGCTCCACACTGGGTGTGTGTGTGTGTGTGTGGTGGGGGGGAGGGAAGGATCTCCAGGAGGGCACTTGGGCAGGACGAGGGCAGGGGGCGTTTTTCTGCCAGCCTCCCCTCGCCTCTGGATTCCCTTCTGCCTCTCCTCCCTCTGGCAGCCGTGTCCCCTGGCATCTTCATACCCCTTCCCCTGCCTTGCTGTGGTTGCCCACCCCCCTGCCCTAATCTCTGCCTTCCTTCCCCCACCCCCCCAGCCAATACAAACTGCTCCCGCTGCTGCCCCTGCTGCCGCAGACGCTCCATGGCAGCCCTGCCTGGAGATCCCAGCACCTCCTCCGCTCTCCCAGCCTTCCTCATGCCCCTTCTCCTCCTCCTCCGGCACCCAGGGCTCCTTCCTCCCCAGCGCCCGCCGCCTCCTCTCCCGCACCCTAGCCCCCCACCCAGGGCGAGGCGGGGACCGGGGAGCGCCCAAACTTTCCCATGGAGTTTCTGCGGGCGCTCTGGCTGTGCGTGGGGGTGGCGGGCAGCCTCCTGCCGGCGCCCGGCCAGGGGCACCCCCAGCCCTGCGACATCCTCGCCAGGGTCGGGCACACGGTGCGCCTGGGCGCGCTGCTGCCCCCGGGGGGCGCGCAGAGCCGGGTGCGCAGCGCCCTGGCCAGGGCGAGCCGGGCCAGCCGGTTCCCCTACAACCTGAGCTTGGAGATCGTGCCGGGGGCTCCCCGGGAGCGGGACCCGGCCTCGCTGGCTCGCTGGCTGTGCCAGGCGCTGCTGGTGCAAAGGGTGGCGGCCGTGCTGGCCTTCCCCGGGTCCCGGGAGGAGCTGCTCCAGATGGAGTTCCTCTCCGCCGCCCTGGAGATCCCCTTCCTCAGCGTCCTGGAGCCGGAGCAGCGGATGCCCTTCAGCACCCAGGTAAGGGGGAGGCGCTGCGCCCCTGCCCCGCCCGGAGCAGCTTCGGCTGGGCAACAAGTGTGTGTGTGGGGGGGGGGGGGGGTCTGGCTTGTCCAACCCAGCCTGCTCCCGTGGCTCAGGGCTGGTCCGATCGCTGGGCGACCTACAGCTGGTGGAGCCCGGGAGCTCCTTGGCCACACACGGGCTAGGCCAGCTGGGGGGGGGGACACCCCACCCCGCTGTAGCAATTCCCCTGCTGGCAGGAAGAGGATTTTGGGAGGTGGCGGCGGGGGCCTCCTTGCCCACTGAACCCAGTCCCTGCAACTCCCAGTGCAAGCTGGGGAAGCTGCAGTTGGGACCCTTTTCTCCTCCCCAGCCTGAGCCCTGGTTGCCTGGGGGGCAGTTCTGGGTGTCCAGCAGCACTGCGGCTGGGGGAGAGGGAGGGTTTGTTGTTGGGGCTATTTTTTGGGGGGGGGGGAGAGTCTGCTCTGTATGCAAAGAAGCAGAAGAGACTCCTGGTTGCAAATCCGCACTTGCAACTGGCAGCCTCTTCCCCTGGGCCTGCCACCCTGGAGCAGAAGGGTTGCGTATCTGGGTAGGCAGGGGGGCTGGGGAGAGCCTGGTGGGGTCCCTGTTTCGAAGGAGGCTCTGCTTTCTGTTCTCCTGGCTACCTTGCGCTTCCTTCCTGCCAGGGGTCTTGCCCCAGCTGGATCCTGTCTCTGGAATGACTCAGAAGGGCTGGTCAATAGTTTAGCCACCTAGAAGGTCCCTGTGGTTTTGAGCTTTAGTCACAGCCAAGTTCAGACCTATCCATCAGGGGGCATATTTATAGTTCGGGGTCACTTTATTCGCAAGCCAGGCCAGCCTCCTTCCCCGTTCATCCCCCGCCACCCCTATGCACCTGCGGGAGAGCAGTGTTAATTGCAGTAGCTGGAGGGGGCAGGGAGTGGGGTTCCGGAGGAAAAGGCCCCCGTGCAAAGGAGAAGTTCCCTTTAGGGTGCGTCCATTCCTGATTCTCATGGCTTTACTGCTGGGTGTGAGTTTCTGTAACACAAAGAGGCACCGTGTTCCAGGCTTCTTGCAGTGAGGCAGGTTCCTGCCGCATCCAGAGAGGAAGGTGTTTAGATACCATGCTGATGTTTGTAATATAAAATCTAAGGCCCCAATCAGCAGGCAGATCCCAGCAGGGCCATAGGTATCTAGGCCTTAGGCCATAGGCCATAGACCATCCAGGGGCCTTTCAAATGAGACCTTAACCACCAACCCCCAGGCGCTCTTTGTAAGATTATGCTCTCGGTCTCAACATCCCCAGTGTTGTGTGCTGGCTGCTGCTTCCCACCCCAGAGGTGGCTGCATCTTCACAGGCGCTGTATGTAAAGTCCTTTGGTGCTATGCCAAAGAAGTATAGACAAATGACTGATCATACAATGGCAGGTTTGAAAGGGTTTTTTTTTTGTGCATGCTGCTGTCACACGGGCCACCTGAGAAGCTTCTCTCTATATTCCTCTGGCCCCATTAAATCAAGCAGGGGCCTGGTCAGCATCTTCTGTACTGGGGGGTTAAATGAACATGATGTAGCCAGCAGAGAGGAGATGTTGGTAAGTGTGGAGAGAAACCTCTCTAAAGAGAGAGGTGGCATCCTCCAGGGCATAGAAGAGACAAGAGTCAGTTGTCACGAGGCTGCAGGACACAGACAAACCCTGTGGTTCTCTCTGGTCCCCTGACTGCTACTGCATGTCAGAACCTAGGGACACTTTAAAAGGGCCTGATTTCCAGGCCACGCTGAGTGCCTGCCCTCTGAAAACAAAGTCCATTTCTCTGTGCATATAAAATCTCCCCACTGTATTTTCCACTGCATGCATCCGATGAAGTGAGCTGTAGCTCACGAAAGCTTATGCTCAGATAAATTGGTTAGTGCCACAAGTCCTCCTGTTCTTTTTGCGGATACAGACTAACATGGCTGCTACTCTGAAAAAAGTCCATTTAAGTGTCTCCAATTGGGCACCCAAAATAATAGCTTTTAAAGGGTGGCACTGCTGGGTGTGGCGTGCACATCCACATGGGTGCTGGAACAAGGGGTATGGGAGGTGCTGCAGCACCCCCTGGCTTGAAGTGGTTTCCTTTATACCCAGGGTTTACAGTTTGGGTCAATGGCTCTCAGCACCCCCACTATAAAAATTGTTCCAGCCCCCCCATACATCCAAGGCCGCTGGAATCTTTGTGAACACCCACTGTGGGAACAGTGTCTATGTGACCCTAAAGTAACAGAGCAGGGCCCGGCTCACTCCAGAATGAAACCCCTTTCCTGCAAATCGCCCCATCAGTAGAGCTCTGGGGCTCTCGGTCAGTTGCCCGGCAAACAGCAGAGTTTGTGCTCTCAGGAGGAATTTATTTTAGCGTGGAGCCATAGCAGGCCTTATCCTGTGGTAACACATCACAACAAGCAACAGACCAGCCTCTCAGCTCTCCCCTATCTCAGCCCTCATCTTTGCCTGCCTCCCTGCCCAGCGTTCTCTCGCTTTTATTATGGGGAATTATTTCCATCACACACAAGGCTTTATAAAGCAGAGGAGGTGGGGATGTGTGTGTGAACTTCATTGATGCTACAGGAATGACTCTGCCGGCTGCTTTGAGCATCGCTGATTTATTAATGCCGCCCGGCATTCCCTTGATTCGTAAACTTTTTCCCGCAGCCCCTGTGGGCTGATGGGAATGCAACGCAGAGGGAGGGTAAAAAGTGCCCTAGGACCCAAGATGAAGCCAATTGATCGATTTGGACAGGGTCTAGTTTTTCTTTGCATGGAATTGACGTTACTATTTAAGCATATAGGACAGCTGGGCTCTGGGAACTGTCGGGACACTCAAGCCCAGAGGTACTGCTACATGCTGTATAGACTTTAAGGCCAGAAAAGACCATCATGATCCTCACCCACCCACTCCTCTAATAGACCCTGGACCTCTGGCTGAGTGACTGACGTCCTCAAATCACAGTTTAAAGACTTCAAGTTACAGAGAATCCACCATTTACGCCGGTTTAAACCTGCAAGCGACCCATGTCCCATGCTGCAGAGGAAGGTGAAACTCCCCGCTGGTCTCTGCCAATATGATCCAGGGGGATGTTCCTTCCTGACCCCAAATAGGGGGATCAGGTAGACCCTGAGCACGTAGGTGAGACCCAGCAGCCAGACACCTGGGAAAGAATTCTCTGTAGTAACTCAGAGCCCTCCCTACCTAGCGTCCCATCACCAGCCGTTGGAGATATAGATGTGCAGTGAGAGACAGTCCGTGCTCCAAAAGAGCTTACAGTCTAAATAGATGCGATGGACAAAGGGTGCGGGGAAACTGAGGCATGAAAGACTAAGAAACTTATCTCAGGGCAATGGTAGAGCTGGGGATAGAACCCAGGGATCGAGTCCCAGTCCTGTAACCCACGCTGCTTCTCCATAGATATATATCAGAGGAGTGGCCGTGTTAGGCTGGATCTGTAAAAGCAGCAAAGATTCCTGTGGCACCTTATAGACTAACAGACGTACTGGAGCCTAAGCTTTCGTGGGTGAATGAATCCCCACTTCGTATTCACCCATGAAAGCTTAGGCTCCAGTACGTCTGTTAGTCTATAAGGTGCCACAGGACTCTGCTGCTCTTCCATGGACATAGTTAGGAATAAAATCCTAGACCCCCACTCTGTGTATCTTCCTGTCCACATTGTACTTAATAGAGATTGTAAGTTCCCTGGGGCATGGCACGGCCAGTGATAGAACCCAGGGGCCCTGCTGCCCAGCTCCCTGCTCTAACCACTGAGACCGGGCTAGCTGGTGCCGCACCCTATTCTTGTAGGTCTGTGCAGTTCAGAGAGCACTGGTGGTACCTTGTAAAGGCAAACCCAAGCTCCCACGGCTGACCAGGCTGGCCTCTTGCTAACACAAGTATTTTGCACTCCCATCACACTCTTCCTTCGAGGAACTCCAAGAGCGTTGCTTTGCAACCATCACGTTAAGCTTCCCAGCAATCCTGCGAGATGCTGGTGCAGTATTATCCCTATAAGCTGAGGACCAAAGAGAGGCTGGAATGCTTTCTCAAGGTCACACAATGAGCTGTGGGCAGAGCTGGGAACAGAACCCAGGAGTCCTGATACCCGGTCCCCCCCCCACACACTAGACTTTATTCTCCTCCTGGAACTGAGAACAGAATCAAGAAGTTCTGGTGCCTATTCCCCTTTCTCTAATCACTAGATTCCTCTCCTCCTAGAGTTGGGAATGGAACCCAGGAGTCCTGGTGCCAATCTCTTGCTCTAGCCACGTAATCTCTCCACTGCCTGATGTGGGTATATATATATAGAGAGAATGGGTATGAGCTGGAGTGAAATGTACCAACCACACCAAGTCCTGGTTAATTCACTGCCAGTGGGAATAATCCCTAATTATTGGACCTGGCTCCTTTCTTTCTTACTGTTTCTCTACTGATCTCTTCCTCCTGTGCAGCAGGCTTGACATCAGTGCTAGTTCATGTTCAGAGACTGAGACCAGACGACTAGCTTCTGAAGGAGAGCTGTCTTGGCAGCTGGGTCCCTTCTGCTTTGTGTCTAAAGGTGTAAATGGAGGGGTAGATCAATGCTGTTACTTTCCCAGCACAGACGCAGAGACGTTCCATAAAAACATACAATCCTCTCGCTGGAAGGTTGCAACATCACATGACTTCAGTTCTTAAAATTCAGAACAATAACACAAAAGAACCTAAGAACAGAGAGAGACAAAGCAGGCTGCTTCCTAAAACAGAGTGGCCCAACTCACTCCACCTTAGTCTAGGTAGGCTCTCTGCAGACTAATTGCTGAAACTGAGCTGGTATGCTTTCCCACAGAGACTCCTAGCCTGCAAGCAGAAGCAGGAAATCCCTAGCACCTAAAGGGATAGCTTGTAATTTGAACATCATTTTCAATATGCCACAAGAGAGAAGGTTTTCCTCCTCCCCTTCCCTTATATTGTGGGTATGAGCTATGGATGGGTTCGACCAAACAACATCTCAGAATCACTTGGAGCTCCATTGGAAGTAGGAGCACTTAGCACCTTGAAGATTTGAGTCTTTAAATGACCATGTTCTGTTGCATTCCAGTCATGCCCCTCTAAGGGGCATGAACATGGGTAGGTAAAGAGCAAGAGGAAAGCCAGCCTTGTGAAATGATTGCTGGGCTGGGCCTGCGTGGCTGTGGGATTGAGTCCTTCCTCTGCCTTCAACTCCCTGTCTGGCCTTGGACAAGTCACTTGACCACTCTGTGCCTCAGTTTCTCCATCTGTAAAGTAGGGATGATCTTTCCTTTATCCTGGCGATTTAGATTCTAAGCTCTTCTGCGCCTGTCTGAACAATCATGCAGGATAGGTCCATCAGTGACTCTTAGCCAAGACGGTCAGGGATGCAACCCCATGCTCTAAGTGTCCCTAGCCTCTGTTTGCCAGAAGCTGGGAATGGGCGACAGAGGATGGATCATTCAATGATTCCCTGTTCTGTTCATTCCTTCTGAAGCATCTGGCATTGGCCACTGTCGGAAGTCAGGATACTGGGCTAGATGGACCATTGGTCTGACCCAGTCTGGCCGTTCCTATGTTCTTAATGCCTGGCACAGCAGAGCCCCGATCATTAAATAGGTAATGATCATACAGTGTGAGGGTGCATTTACAGCTCCTAAGTAGGGTCTGGGTGCAAGCAGCTCAACTTCCACGTGGTGTACAGAAGGAGAGTCACTTCACAGGGTGAAGCTCCCTGATCTGTGTAAGGGGATGAAGTTAACATCCTGCCCAGTGCTCCCAGATGAATTTACGCTCCTCAGGCAGTGATGAAATTAGAATTTTCTTTAAAACTTTTTATGAAGGGCTCTGGATAATGGTGCATGTGTGCAAGAGAGAGAGATCGCTGCTCTGGGTCAGTGCCGCATTAGGCATTTCCATTCTACCCCCCCCCCCGCCCATTTCCCTTTGGCAGTTTTAATTGGATTCAGGATCCTTCCCTTCCTGCCCTAAACTCTTATGCAGTGTTGCTGTCGGCCATTAAACAGCAGCTGAGTTCCACCTCAGAGGCGGCTGCATCTCAGTGTAGGATGGAACAATCTGTGGGTGCGTCTCAGAGGTCCTCCTTGCACAGCTCCCACTTTGACGATGACGCCCAAATATCCAGCAAAGCATGCGACACCCCCTCCACACACACACACCCTCCCCCCCCCCCCTTAGTGTGACTGGGAGCAGAGCCAGAACCCCTGAGGAATTGTTTCTCCTCTTTGAAGCCTTCCCTTTGCTCTCTTGGATTTCGTGCCCTCTCCTGGCCACTCGCCTCCTTGCCCATTTCCTCTGTGAATTGACTGGAGTTTTATTTTTGGCGTGAGTCAGCGCTGCGGTGGGTTTTATTCCTGTGTGGTGTTTTAGATTTAAATGCATGCAAAGCCGCCAGTCCAGAGGACATCAGTATCCCAGGACATAGGATAACGGGACAGAGCCCAGCAGAGACCAACGCCCTCCATGCCCCAGAATTGCCAGTCAACACACCATACCCCTCCCCCATTGGGAATTCACAGGAGCCCTTCTCTTCCCCATCAGTTGCAAATAACTTGTCCACTCCCTTTGGAGACAGAGACACCCTCCTAGTCTGGTGGTAAGGATCACTTCACGGCCATGAGCGGGTGGGAAAAGAGGTTCAAAGGCTGCATGAGTTCCCAGAAGCTCCTGTTCCTATTTAGTGTTTTGTTGCCCCCAAGGCCACAGGCACTAGGGGGCGCTGTGCTGCAGGAGGCAGTGTGGATGACTCAACGGGGTCGGCAGTGCCCGCAGTATTCTAGTGCGGCGTGAGGGGGTGCTGGGTGTACCCTGGTCTGTTTTAGCATGGTGACCCCAGTTCCCTCGGTCATTAAACACTGCCTCCCTAAAGTTCCTCTTGTAACTTCATCTCAGTTTGGCCCTTCCTGTCCTAACCAGCGGGGCAGCCTTTCTGGGCAGTTGTTAAACAGCTGCTGCATTCCACTCCCGAGGTGGCTGCCTTTAGTGGTGGGAGGAAATGATCCCCATGTCTCCCTTACCTAATGGCCAGGAGGGAAGCTCAGAGATCTTTGGGAGGAAAGTTCAGTAGAAGGGCAGAGGAGGAGAAATTCCTCTAGATGACACTGAGTTTCTGGTAAAAAGAAAAGGAGTACTTGTGGCACCTTAGAGACTTTCTGGTGTGTCCACATGAGTTGCCATTACACCCCCTGGTTACAGTACAGACATATCTTATAGATACGTACAGCACCTAGCGCAGTGGGGCTCCCAATTTCACCTGCCCCTGTAATACACAGACCAATAAGTAAATCTCACTCATCATCTCGGGGCTTGCAGAATCCCTTCCACCTGCACATGGACCGGAAGAGCCCCATGGAGACCCTGGTGGACGTGCTTGGCAGCATCCTGCAGACCAACAACTGGCACGAGATCACCCTGGTGCTGTGCCACACCTGGGACGTCTCTGGCTTCCTGGATTTCTGGACCAGCAGCACCGACCTCTTCCTGAGGACCATCCTGGACCTGAGCTACCTGGATGAGCCAGGTGCCACCAGCTACCTCCGCCAACACTTAGAGGAGCTCGAGGAGCTGGCCGGCCCAGTGCTGCTCTTTGGCTGTGACGCCCGCCTCTCACGGCTGGTGTTCAGGGCAGCCTCGGAATCCGGCCTGAGGCTGCAGGACTTTCACTGGATGCTGGGGCAGCCGTTGAATGTGGACGAGCTGCAGACAGAGGGGCTGCCCCTGGGCCTCCTGGCTTATGGGGAGGTCAACAGCCCCACGTTGGAGCAATTCACCCAGGACGCGGTGGAGTTGGTAACCCGGGCCATCTCCAGCGCCATGTACGTTCGGCCCGACCTCACCCTCATCCAGAGCATGGTGAACTGCAATGACAAGCACGCGGAAGGCTCGGAGTCCTCTGGGCACCACCTCTCCAGGTAAGCTTGGAGCCAGCCCCGTCAGCGGCTCCTAGCACGTGGGCCAGTGTCTGCCTCGCCCAGCCGCTGCCCCCTGCTGGGGCATCTGCTTCTCTTTGAGCATTCAGACAGCCAGACAGGCTTTCCTGCCACTGGGGGCTGGGCGCAGAAAGAGGTTGCAAGCCGGCAGCGATGCCCAGCCGGTCCTCCCACACCCTCCGATGCCCCCTACTAGTTGGCCTTCCTCTGCATTTGATTTTTAGTCCAAGCACTGGAGTCTCTCCGTTTGATGTTATGGGATGGTCCAGGGTGCCGGACTGCAAGAGCTGGGTTCTGTCTCAGGTCTTAATGCTGACCTGCTGGGTGACCCCATGGCATGTCACTTCCCCTCCCTGTGCCTCAGTTTCTCATTTGGGTGACATTCTCTGGCCTCTGCTATGCAGGAGCTCAGCCCTAGATGGTCATAATGGTCCTGTCTGGCCTTAAAAATCTAAGGTTTGTCAGGCTGGGTAATAATAGGGAGGCAGTGGAAAGATCACTGGGCTGGGACTCAGGAGACCTCCCTTCTATTCCCGACTCTGCCACTGACCAGCTGGGTGACCTTGGGCAAGTCACTTCCTCGCTGCGTGCCTCAATTTCCCCATCTGTATGATGGGGAATTACAATACTTCCCTCCTTTGTAAAGTGCTTTGGTGATCTTTGGGAAAGGAGCAGTTGGCGTTGTTATGTTAATACCTTGCACTCCTCTGGCACTGCACTAACTAACCCTTGCAATCCCTCTGTCAGGAGGAGGGGTGAAGGGAATTATTTATTGTTATACAGATGGGGAAACTGAGGCACCAAAAGTCACTTGCCCAAGGTCAATACAGCAAAGCGGTGGCAGAGCTGGGACTAGAACCCAGGTCTCCTGACTCCAGCCTGTGCTCTGACCACTAGGTCATGCTTCCTCTTGGAAGATCAGCAGTCCGTTCAGGCACTAACCCTTTCCTGCAAGAGGCTGTGTCTGTGCAGAAGCTGAGTGGGAAAGGGACCGTGTCGCTTTAAATCTCTGAGTAACATCCCCAGAAAGCTGTTGTTATAGAAATGTGAATTGTGCTAAGGCCCCGACAGCCCTGCACAAGGCAGCGTGGGCTGGGTCCCTTCCTGACCCTCCCAGCAATCGGCCTGGGCCCTGGAGCATGGCATTTGAATCCTGTTAATTACAGCTACCAGAGTCATGAATGGTCCAGCTGCTTTAGAAATGCAGCAAAGTGCTCCCCCCTCCTCTGGGCCTCTCTGGCAACTTGGGCTCATGCTGGAGACGTTACTAGTGTCTTAATGGGCCCGTTCCAAGGCCCGGGAGCGGGAGGGGAGCAGAGGGAAGGCGAGCGAGAGATGGAAAAGGAGAGACGAGGAGACTGGAGCTGATGCCAGAGGAAGGCTCAGCTGGGCAGAGGGTTGTTTTCTGGGATGCTTTGGCAGCCTTGGTTGGAAAATGGAATCCCCCCCCCCACGCCCGCCCGCACACGCCCCCTCCAATCCCCCGTGCCATGTGTGATCTGACATGAACTCATGTTAGCATTGACACACACGGGCCCATTCCCCGCAGAGCCACACCCAGAGGCCCAGGCACTCAGACATGCACGGCGCCACACACGTGGTCACATGTCCAGTCTGACAGGCAAAGATATGCATGTCCATGCATGCACACACACTGCCCTGCATGGTTGCATGTCCAGTCTGATACGCAATGATATGGATGTGCACACACAGACCGGCACACATATCGACACAGCTCCTCCCTGCACACCTACACTCGGGAGGCCCTGAGTTTCCCCGCTTGTCCAGCCGGTCTGGTAATAATCGGCCCCTTTAACCAGGTCACAGACATTGCTGCTGAAGATTCCCGGCCCAAGGGCGCCCCCACCCCCCGCTCTGCCAGCGCCCCTGCCTCTCTAAAACCCTCAGTTCAGCCAGTCCCGGAACGACTGCCCAGCACGGAGCAACCTCTGCTCTCAGAAAACCATCAACTGAAGCAAACTCCTTGATTTGGCAAGTGGAACCAGGCTGGGGGAGGCCCCCCCACCCAGGTCAGGTCCTTAGGCTTGGAGCAGCCTCTTCAGGGTCCTGAAGAGCAGGGGGTTCTCAACCTGGGGGTTGTGACCACCCTGCCCTTCCCCTGTTGTTCATTGGGGGGCAGATCCTGGCCAGAGCCCAGCTAGATGGGGGAGATCGGTGCAGAAAAGGGCGAGAATCCCAGTATTTCCGCTGCTGGGTCCCCTCCAGCCCCTTGGGTCTCCGAACACTCATCAATTTCCCCTCCGTCCAGAAATCCCCTCCTGCCCCGATCCGCCTGACAGCCTGTTCAGTAGATCAGCTCCCTCCTGCCACCGTCCCAGCCCGGGGCCCCTGGTGTGCTGGACTCAGGAAAGGCATCACTGTGGCCAGACCCTGTCTACAGCTCCCTCCTGGCCCCATTGCTGTGGCTCTGTGCTCAGCTCCCCGACCCTGGGGATGTCAGCTGCCCCATGCTTCCTCTCTCCCCTCCGCCAGGTTCCTGGCCAACACATCGTTCCACGGGCGGACGGGGCGGGTGTCCGTGAGGAACACGTCGCTGGTGCACACCGAGCACGGCTACCGGATCTGGAGCCTGCTGCGTGACTCCCTGGGGGCGCCCACCTGGGTGACGGTGGGCAGCTGGCAGGACGGCAAGCTGGAGGTGGAGGAAGGGTTCTGGCAGAACCAGCTGCCGCGCAAGAGCCCGGAAGGCAGGGGTGGCTTCTTGCCTGTGAGGCTGCGGGTGGTGACGCTGGTGGAACACCCGTTTGTCTTCACGCGGGAGGTGGACGAGGATGGGAGCTGCCCAGCCGGGCAGCTGTGCCTGGACGCCCACACCAACGACTCGGCCGTGCTGGAGGCCCTCTTCGAGGCGCTCACCGCCAAGAACGGCTCGGTGCCCCTGGCATACAAGAAGTGCTGCTACGGCTACTGCATCGACCTGCTGGAGAAGTTGGCCGAGGACCTGCCCTTCGACTTCGACCTCTACATCGTCGGGGACGGCAAGTACGGGGCCTGGAAGAACGGGCAGTGGACGGGGCTGGTGGGGGACCTGCTCAGCGGCACGGCCCACATGGCCGTCACCTCCTTCAGCATCAACTCGGCCAGGAGCAAGGTCATCGACTTCACCAGCCCCTTCTTCTCCACCAGCCTGGGCATCCTGGTGAGGACCAAGGACACGGCCTCACCCATCGGCGCCTTCATGTGGCCCCTGCACTGGACCATGTGGGTGGGGATCTTCGTGGCCCTGCACCTGACGGCGCTCTTCTTGACCCTCTATGAGTGGAAGAGCCCCTACGGCATGACCCCAAACGGGCGCAACCGCATGAAGATCTTCTCCTACTCCTCGGCCCTCAACCTCTGCTACGCCATCCTCTTCGGACGCACCGTCTCCAGCAAGACGCCGAAGTGCTACACCGGCCGCTTCCTCATGAACCTCTGGGCCATCTTCTGCCTCCTGGTGCTCTCCAGCTACACGGCCAACCTGGCCGCCGTCATGGTGGGGGAGAAGACCTTCGAGGAGCTCTCGGGGATCCACGACCCCAAGGTGGGAGGGCCATTGCGCTGCCTTGGAGGCGGGAGGGATCCGAGGGGTCGGGGGATGTTACCATCTTCCCTACCCTCCCCACGCTGGTCTCCTCTGCATCCCGGTTTCCTTTGGGTGGTGGCCACTCCAGCAGCCCACCGCTCTTTAGTACCATGCTGGGGCCTTGGGGTCAGGCCCAACTCCAAGAGGAGAGTGCCCCCCTACCCATCACTTCGCCAACTCCAGAGCAAGAGCGTTATTAGCGCTAGGCCTTTTGAATCTTGTCCACGTCATTCCCAACCCATCGTTGTGTTGGGCTGTCGCCTGGAGCTTTGCCTGTTGAGCCACCCGCCACACCCCGTTTTCCCAGCTGGCTCCCGGCTGCTGCTGGCTCTGGGAGCGACAGGGGCAGGGGGTGTAAAATCCAGTGGATTGTTCAGTAGGGGGTGCTCTTCCCTCAGAGCCGTCTCTGAGCCATTGGCCCTGCAGTGCTGGTGCACTTAAATCCAAGGTCCTATCTGCTTGCAACCTCAAAGACCCCAGAGTCCTTTTCCTATGAGTTAGGGCGGGGGTTCACCCTGAGTCCTGGCCAGATTCCAGCTGGGGTAATTCTGCCTCCCTTAAAATCCCTCTCCCCTGCAGTTCAAGCTAGATGCAGCATGCTTCCTCACCTCCTGTCCTGAACTGCTGCTGTTTGCAGAGAAATACCTCCACCCCAGAGGTGGCTGCATTCCAGTGGTAGCAGTGATGCCAACCAGAGGAGGGGCAAACCCTACTGGTTCCCCCCCGGGTTTTGCACTTGCTCATAGTTCCACACTAAATCAGTTCGGCTGATGCCAGAGCCGCCCGGAGCATCGCTGTGGCTGCGCTCTTACAACCCCGCTCAGATTTGGCCCGGCCGTCCAGACAGAGGGGCGGCTGGACCAAATGGTGCTGCCCCCTGGCTCCCGGCGTGTCTGATTCCTGTATGGCAGAGTGCAGGGGCGGCCCCCGAGACAGCGACTCCGGCTGGCGCTGGCTCCCACGCTGTGTAGCTAAGAGAGGAGAGACTCCCCGGCCGGGGGGGGTGGGACTGGCATGTGCCCCCTCCCAAGAAACATCTTACTTGGTGCCACTGAGTGGTGGGGAATGGAGCCTGGCATGTACAGCCTGCGACTCCAGGTTAGACGGGCAGGGCTGGTGGGCTCGGGGCTAGCGCGTTTCGTGGCATGTGGGGTTCACTGCTTTGACCCCCCCAACCCCTCCGGTTCCCTCCCCTGCTCACCCGCCTTGCTGCTGGTATTTGCAAGCCGCGCGCCTGGTCCTCTTTGCAGCTGCACCACCCCTCGCAGGGCTTCCGCTTCGGCACGGTGTGGGAGAGCAGCGCCGAGGAGTACATCAAGAAGAGCTTCCCCGAAATGCACGAGTACATGCGCGCCACAGCGTCCCCACCACCCCCGCCGGGGTCACCAAGCTCAAGTAAGGGGGCAGCAGCAGGGGCAAGCTCAACGCCCGGGGGAAGGCGGGCGTGTGCCCCGGGCTCATTCGCCATGAACTGGCCCACGCGGGAAAGGAACTGTGTCTTTCTGGGCTACCGCCCCTCACTGCGCTGCACCAGTCTCCACAGCGCCCCCTGCTGGGGCTGGGCTGGAGTAGGCGGGAGCTCCCCCCACAGCCAGCACCCTGCCCCGCTTCCTACAGCGCCCCCTGCTGGGAGAGGCTGGGCTGGAGTAGACGGGAGCTCCCCCCACAGCCAGTACCTCTGCCCCGCTTCCTACAGCGCCCCTGCTGGGAGAGGCTGGGCTGGAGTAGATGGGAGCTTCCCCCTACCAGCCAGCACCCTGCCCCGCTTCCTACAGCGCCCCCTGCTGGGAGAGGCTGGGCTGGGGTAGGTGGGAGCTCCCCGCACAGCCAGCACCCTGCCTTGCTTCCTACAGCGCCCCTGCTGGGAGAGGCTGGGCTGGGGTAGGCGGGAGCTCCCCCCACAGCCAGCACCCTGCCCTGCTTCCTACAGCGCCCCCTGCTGGGAGAGGCTGGGCTGGAGTAGGCGGGAGCTCCCCCCACAGCCAGCACCCTGCCCCGCTTCCTACAGCGCCCCCTGCTGGGAGAGGCTGGGCTGGAGTAGACGGGAGCTTCCTCCCACAGCCAGCACCCTGCCCCGCTTCCTATAGCGCCCCCTGCTGGGAGAGGCTGGGCTGGATTAGACGGGTGCTCCCCCCACAGCCAGTACCCTGCCCCGCTTCCTACAGCGTCCCCTGCTGGGAGAGACTGGGGTGGAGTAGGCGGGAGCTCCCCCCACAGCCAGCACCCTGCCCCACTTCCTACAGCGCCCCCTGCTGGGAGAGGCTGGGCTGGAGTAGACGGGAGCTTCCCCCTACCAGCCAGCACCCTGCCCCGCTTCCTACAGCGCCCCCTGCTGGGAGAGGCTGGGCTGGAGTAGGAGGGAGCTCCCCCCACAGCCAGCACCCTGCCCCGCTTCCTACAGCACCCCCTGCTGGGAGAGGCTGGGCTGGAGTAGACGGGAGCTTCCCCCCACAGCCAGCACCCTGCCCCGCTTCCTACAGCGCCCCCTGCTGGGAGAGGCTGGGGTGGAGTAGGCAGGAGCTTCCCCCACAGCCAGTACCTCTGCCCCGCTTCCTACAGCACCCCTGCTGGGAGAGGCTGGGCTGGAGTAGATGGGAGCTTCCCCCCACAGCCAGCACCCTGCCCCGCTTCCTACAGCGCCCCCTGCTGGGAGAGGCTGGGCTGGATTAGACGGGTGCTCCCCCCACAGCCAGTACCCTGCCCCGCTTCCTACAGCGTCCCCTGCTGGGAGAGACTGGGGTGGAGTAGGCGGGAGCTCCCCCCACAGCCAGTACCTCTGCCCCGCTTCCTACAGCGCCCCCTGCTGGGAGAGGCTGGGCTGGAGTAGACGGGAGCTTCCCCCCACAGCCAGTACCTCTGCCCCGCTTCCTACAGCGCCCCCTGCTGGGAGAGGCTGGGCTGGAGTAGGCGGGAGCTCCCCCCACAGCCAGCACCCTGCCCCGCTTCCTATAGCGCCCCCTGCTGGGAGAGGCTGGGCTGGATTAGACGGGAGCTCCCCCCACAGCCAGTACCCTGCCCCGCTTCCTACAGCGTCCCCTGCTGGGAGAGACTGGGGTGGAGTAGGAGGGAGCTCCCCCCACAGCCAGCACCCTGCCCCGCTTCCTACAGCACCCCCTGCTGGGAGAGGCTGGGCTGGAGTAGACGGGAGCTTCCCCCCACAGCCAGCACCCTGCCCTGCTTCCTACAGCGCCCCCTGCTGGGAGAGGCTGGGCTGGAGTAGGAGGGAGCTCCCCCCACAGCCAGCACCCTGCCCCACTTCCTATAGCGCCCCCTGCTGGGAGAGGCTGGGCTGGAGTAGACGGGAGCTCCCCCCACAGCCAGTACCCTGCCCCGCTTCCTACAGCGCCCCCTGCTGGGAGAGGCTGGGCTGGAGTAGGCGGGAGCTCCCCCCACAGCCAGCACCCTGCCCTGCTTCCTATAGCGCCCCCTGCTGGGAGAGGCTGGGCTGGAGTAGACGGGAGCTTCCCCCCACAGCCAGTACCCTGCCCCGCTTCCTACAGCGCCCCCTGCTGGGAGAGGCTGGGCTGGAGTAGGCGGGAGCTCCCCCCACAGCCAGTACCCTGCCCCGCTTCCTACAGCGCCCCCTGCTGGGAGATGCTGGGCTGGAGTAGACGGGAGCTTCCCCCCACAGCCAGCACCCTGCCCTGCTTCCTACAGCGCCCCCTGCTGGGAGAGGCTGGGCTGGAGTAGACGGGAGCTTCCCCCCACAGCCAGTACCCTGCCCCGCTTCCTATAGTGCCCCCTGCTGGGAGAGGCTGGGGTGGAGTAAGCAGGAGCTCCCCCCACAGCCAGCACACCTGCACTAGCCTCTTTTGTAATTTGTGGCTATTTACCCCTGAACCCACCAGCCAATTCTTGGGGACAGGGAGGGCGAATCCAGCCAATCAGCCTCTCCCCTGTGCTCCCTTTGCCAGGACCGAGCCCCCCAAGCTCAACGCATTCATCATGGACAAGTCCCTTCTGGATTACGAGGTCACCATCGACTCGGACTGCAAGCTCCTCACCGTGGGGAAGCCGTTTGCTATTGAAGGTGAGCCGCTGCCTGGGGCCGGGGCCCCTTGGCCCCCTGTCCAGGGCCCGAGCTGCTGAGTGCCCAGGTGCCCTGGGAGAAGGGGCATTGCTTGCGTGGTCCTGGGCCACAGCGGTCGGCGACGGGTGGCTTCAGTGCAGTGTTGATCTCTGTGTTAAAATGGCTCAGTGTAAATAATCTTGGCGAGAGGCTGTTAAAGCCTGCAGCAGGTGGCTGTGCTGTGTGTGTGTGATTCTTGAGCCGGCCCGACAGCCCTGGAGCGGGGCCGGTCTCTGGTTAGCCCGATGCTGGGCACAGCCTGGGCTGGCAGGCTCCCTACATGTACCCCCCTTTCCCTGGAGGCGAGAGAAATCCAGCCGTATGATCCACTCAGCTGGGGGTGCTGCCTTGGCTGCCATCTGCTCGGCTCACTTTGCTTATGGGCCCCCCCACTGCAGACAGCTCCTGAGCTTTGGTCACAGCTGGAGCTGAACTGGGGCCCTAGAGGGGAAAGGCTCCTTTGTCTAGTGGCCGGATCCACCCAGAGCAGAACTAAAATGACACTGCCCCATGGCCAGGGCAGAGGGGCTGTAGCCTCCAGTGCCTTCCAGCCAGCGGTGAGTGCTCCCCTGCAAAAGCAGCACAAAGCCATTGTCTCATTCAGAGAGGCACCCCCCCTCACACACACACACACACACACCCGCCACCTGAGCTTTTGCACACCTGAGCTTTGATCCCTGGTGAATCCACAGCTTACATGTCACAGGGCCCCGCAGTGCAGACAGGCTTTGCTTGCAGCAGGGGTGCTTCTGTGGCGCCCTTCACCAGGCTCTCCGAGGGGTGCTCAGCCAGAGCAAGAGTCTTTTGAGCTAGCAAAGCACAGAGGAACCCTGGTGTGTTGCAGCCCCTCACCTGAGTCCAGCTGTGTGCCAGCTACCCAACAGCTGGCATGCTGCTGGAGACCCCAGTAGCCCATCTGGTCTGGTGGCCTAGGATGTTCATCATCCTTCCTGTCCCTGCGCCCTGGAGCATGATGGTTCAGCCTACCATGATCCTGGTTTGGCTAAGAGTGAGCGAAGCCTCCAGGTGCTGCGTGCCCTCTTCTCTCCCCATGCCTGATCCCTTCCACCTCCGCTAATCTCCTGCACAGCCTCCTCCTCCTCTCATCCCTGTGCAGTAGGGATGCTGGCTGATCTCTCCTCATTAACCAGACTGTTGCCCCAGAGCCGAGAGGGAAGTTCAATGAAGCGCCCGTTCTCTCGCCTGCCAAGCTGCGACTAGAAAGGGAAACAGGGAAGCGAAGGCAGCCCCATCAGCAGGGCCCTGCAAGGAAAGGCAGGCTGCTGCGTGTCACAGGGCCCTCTTTGCTGAGAGCTCCCAATTGCCCCGCCACTAGGAGGCGAAGCTCGTGGGTTTTCCTCCTGGGGAGACCAGATGGATTTATGGCAATGGGGTGCAAGCTGTCCTATGATGAGAACAACTTACCTTAGGGGGGGAAGCAGCTGCTCACCCACCCTGCAATAAACCACACTGGGTTGTGTAGCTGCAGGCACTCGGCAGACCGAGGGGAGCAGTGTGGCTTGAGAGCCCTGAGAAAGGCTGACTGGGGGGTTATGGGACTCAGGAGATCCAGGTTCATAGCCCAGCTGTTACCTTGCCCAAGTTCCTCCATCTTTCAATGGGGTGACAAGCCCTCCTGAGGCTCGGATGCTGCAGTGGTGGGGGCTAAAGGGGGCAGGAGCCCAGGGCTTTTATTCATTGTTTGTATTGAGGTAGCACCTTGTGACCCTGATGAGATCAGAGTCCTGCTGCGCTCGGTGCTGTACATTCAATACAGAAGACACATGATGTGCCCAAAGTCACACAGTAGGCCTGGGAATAGAGCCCGGGGCTGCTGGCTCCCAGTCCACCCCCATGATGGTGCTTCTCTCTCCATGTCTCTCTCTCCCCGCCTCCGCTAGGCTATGGAATCGGGCTCCCCCAGAATTCGCCCCTGACCTCCAACCTCTCCGAGTTCATCAGCCGCTACAAGTCGGCCGGCTTCATGGACCTGCTGCATGACAAGTGGTACAAGATGGTGCCCTGCGGCAAGCGGGTCTTAGGTGTCACCGAGGTGAGGGCGGCCCGGTGGGCTCTGCAGGGAGGAGATGTCGTGGGGCCCAGGCTAATCCCCCCCTCCCCCTTTCCCTTCCAGACACTGCAGATGGGCATCTATCACTTCTCTGGCCTCTTTCTGCTGCTGTGCATCGGGCTCTGTGGCTCCTTGCTCACCTCTCTGTGCGAGCATGTCTTCTACCGCCTCATCCTGCCCTGCATCAAGAGGAAGAAGAAATTCAACTACTGGCTACACACCAGCCAGGTGAGAGCAGCTGGAGCCCCGGCCCCGCTTCCCTTACGCTGCCTGTCCCCCACTGGGCTGGGTTTTGAAGCCGCCTCCTTCTGCCTCCACAGGGGCCTGATGGTCCCCACCAGCCCCTTCTCTCAGGGTGCCCCTTCCTTAGCAGTGGTGAGAACGGTCCCTGGTGCTTCACTGGCCCAAGAGCAGTGGTGCTGGGGTCTATTTATTGCTAGTAATTATTTGTATTATCGTAGGACCTACAAGCCCCTGAACCCCCCTATGCAGCTTTCTTTTCTCCCGCCTCGCCTGGTGGGACACAGCAGTGCCCCTCCATAACGTAGGGCCCCGCCAAAGCCACTGGAGGGAGCCTTTTGCAATTGGTATTGTCCTAAAGATTCCCCCTCCTCTGCCCCCCCCGTCTCACACTGCCCTCTTCCCTAGTGCAGAACCAGTCTATGCCCCTGCCTATACCGAGCAGCTGTTGGGAGTCATACCCACCCCCAGCTCTGGCTTAATTAGACTCTAATTCACCCTTCTGCAGGAGCCCTAGAAAGCCCCCCTGCAAGGCATTGAATCAAAGTTACTCTTTAACACTGAAAAGACAAAGCCCTGTCCTCACATCCCCCCAGCCTTTCCCCTGCGGGTCTGATTCCTCTCCTCCTTGTGCGTCATAGAAAATCCACCGGGCACTGAATATGGGCTTCGAGGAGCAGAAAAACCAAAAGCTGAGACTCGAGAAAAGGTACTGACAGGGGGCAAAGCCCCATTCCACTTCCGCTGCCGGCCTGAGTCTTCACCGCTGGTTGGTAGCTCCTGCTGTCCAGCTGCAGCAGTAGTTTAGAGCAGAGGGCTCCTGCCCCCAAGCGGCAGTGCAAACCGCTGTCTAATGGTCCAACACACGGTGCCTTCCCATGGGTGTTAGGGTAGCTGGGTGGGAGAAAGGTGCCCTACCCTGGAACCTTGCTGGCCACCAGCAAAGAGTCTTGGGTGTGAGCGTCCAGCTTGGAGAAACGAGGATCCAATGCACGGTCTCAGCCAATCACCCCTTCTAGAGGAAAGACCCAGCTTTGACCAGCTGTTGCCATCCTCTCTCTGAGGAAGGGCACAGACAATGGAGGGGGAGCCCTCTAGGCAGCTGGGATGGTAGACTCAGCCCTGAAGGCTCGACTCACCCTCTGCCTGTTTCACTCTGAAGGTGCAACATTCAGAAGAGCCAAGAGGCACCAGCCCCAAATTCCAGCCAGCCAAGCTGGAATAACCTCAGGAAAGCTGCTGGGAAAGAGGACAAGCGGGTGCATTTTAACATGGAGCAGATGCCCTCTGAGCCAGCGCAGGAGAGGGAGGTGCCCGTGTGGCACTGCATGAATGGCAGGGTGCCCCAGCCAGAGGAGTGGGACACCAGAGAGAAGGAGCTCAGGGAGCTGGAGGAACGGATCCAGGCAATCAGGGATCAGCTGAGAGCTGCCCTGGTGCGGAAGAGCGAGCTGGTGGTGGCATTGGGGCCCACCAAGAACATCAGCATGCTGCCTGTTAAGCCCATGGCAGAGAACAAGGACAGGTAATGGGACACGGGCCATTCAGGTTCCTTTTACATCTTATATCAAACCAGAGCCTGGAGAGCAAGTGCAGAGGCTCCTGGTTGTGGAAGCAGTGAAGCTGCATAGATCACAACTGGGAACACTCCCAACTCATTCACCACTTTGTTTGAAATTAATTTCTTCATATCACAGCTAGGACCCAATTCCCACCCTGCTGCTGTCCTTTGTTAATGGCAAGCTTAGAGATTTCCACATGATCAGCTTACTGTAGAGGCATGGTAGAACCCTCCATCAAGCTCCTGACAGCTATGGAAAGGAGGATCTCACTTAAAAATATTTTCAGTTACATATCCATTACTGCAGGTGTGAGGACAGCAGGACTGGCTTTTCCTCAAGGAGGAAGTTCTAGGTTTAGTTCTTTCCCCACTGCCTCAGAACAAGGAATCCTTCCCTATTTAAAACAGTTGTTTGGGGAAACTCGATAGAATCCAATGAGGAACTAAGAACTGGTGACTTGGGCTAGGAAAGTTTGTGTCCAGTTTCAGATCCCTTCTCTCTCCGGGGTGGGTGTGCGGCATGGAATAGAGACGTACTCAAACTTTCCCCTACAACATCTGAGGGGGGCAGTTGTCCAGAAAATACTGTGATATGGGTAATGCAAATTCTAATAGTGTTTCCTTTCACTAGCAGCATCTGTAACATTGATTGTAAATAAAATGTACAAAGTTCAAGATTTTAACTAGAATAAAAAGCAAAGCAGACTTCTCCTCCCTCCCACCCACCCCTTTCAGATCCCACAGGTGGTGGTGAAAATGCAGATTGACTCAGGAATCTGCTCACTAGCTCCTCCAGCCCCCAAGCTTGTCCATCTCCCTCACGCGCATGAGTTTCTCTCCCCATCTTTCCTTCACTCTGAGCTGTTTTTTGGATGCAACGGCCAGCCTGGGATTAGGATTTTATTTACTGAATTAAGATTAGATTTAGCCAGGATCCTCCCCCAAGGCATAAAATTGCAGAATTTAAATGGACAGAGCTACCGGGAATTTAATCACAAAACTGTATTTTTGAGTAAAGCTGAGGGTGTGGGAAATCTCCTTCCACCTTCAGCCCAGCAGCAAGAGTTTTATGCAGAGGGAAACTTCTCTTCTGTCACTGCAGGACTCCCCATTTTTCATGCTTGCTCATTGCTGGCGAGGTTCTGGTTAACACAATCCCTTCGTTTCAGGCACAGGAAAGTCCCAGCTTGTCTCATCTCTGATGTGATGGAAGATCAGAGATGTAGGTATGAGAATGTAGCAGTCCATACACATAAGAGGGTGACTGACCATGAGCCCTGCAGCATTAAAAGTCCAAAAGGTGCTGTCAAGCTGTTTTTAAAGGGAGGTCAGTAAATCTGAGAGATGGAAACCCAGGGGGTTCAGGCCCAGGCCCTCAAAAATATTTAGGCTCCCAAGTCCTCAACATAGTTTGGAGAGCTAGCTACAGAAGTGCAGCAGCATCTTCTCCATATGGCTGTGCAATGTGCCTCAAGCCAAAGGCTGGCTGCTCTTCTGTTCCTCCAGTGCTGTGCTGTGTGTGGGGTGGGGGGAAGGTTGGCCTGGAAGACCCTGGGGCAATTCCCTGCTCCACCACAGACTCCCCAGGCAAGTCACTTAATCAGTGTCTCAGCTCCCCATCTGTAACAAAGAAAGTGCCCTACCTCCGGGGTAGGGAGGTGCTGAGATACTATGACAGCAGTAAGTCTCTTAGACCTAGGAGCTAAGTGTATGTGACACTGCCCAGAATGAAGACCAGAGCCTCACAGATCCAGCCTGCCCAGAACCCCTGCACGACCGTTCGCAAAGCGGCAGCACTGAAGAGGTTAGAGATAATATTTATTATATATATACAAACACATTTTTTACATTAATTAAATAGAATGAACTCTACCCTTCATTCAGCAAATGATTTGGTTCATTTCCCCCCCTAAAATCCTACAGCTGTTTCTGCTGGCTTGTGCTCTCTGACCTTTACAACCTGTTCGCAAGGAGCCCAGCTGCCTAGAAGCAGCATCAAATAATTGAGGGGGGAGATGTTGGCTGGACCCAGTCTTGCTCCTGGGGAGGCTGGGTGTAGCGAGAGGGGTCCACCAACATACCAGGCCCTGGCATGCACACTCCACCTCCAGCAGCAGCATCTACTCCCTAAATGGGTTTCTGGGGAGGAAAGGCAGAGAAAGAGAGAGCTGAGATACTGTCAGAAACCCCTTTGCACTGGGCAGCCACTGACATAGCAAATCCTTCGATCACACCCCAATTCCCCATCCACCTGCCCTGTGTGGTAAGCAGTGGAAATACCTGAGGGCCTCATTCCTGGGACTGATCAGACAGGAAGGAAACTCCAGATGAGGGCTGATTAGCTCCTGTAGACAAGGATAGAGCCCAAGGACAATTCCACAGCTTGGTCTCCATCCCCCTTGAGACATGCCTCCCACCTCCCCTCTAATCTCGAGGGCCTAAGCCCCACCCTCCCCCTTGGCACTTCCCTTTTCCACCACATACGCTACCTTTTCCTGAGTTTTTCTCCCCTCTCAGAGCCTTGCTGGGGGAACTGGACATCACTTACCACAAACCCTTCTCCAAAGGGAGCAGCTCCCAGGATGGGCTCAGCCTGCACTGGTATGCGAACTAGAAAACTCTGCGGCCGATAACAGGATGGTTCCTAATGCAGCCTCTCTAACTTGGGTACCAGATGTCACCCACTAGAACTAGTTAGTAAAAAGGTAGAGAGACAGACAGCCCTTGGGCAAACTACAGTCTACCAGGGTGAGACACTAATCTCAGAGCTAGCTTTGCCTCTTCCTTTCAGCAGGACAGTGCTCCAGGCTTCCTTCTTGCCAAGAAGGAAAGGAGGGGGGTATCTAAATTTCTTCTTGGCTTCAGTGTTTGGGTCCTTTCCTTTTCTACTGAACCATCATGAGTAACAGTTTTCTACCTGCAGTCTCCCCTTCTGGCCCTGTGCCAAGGGGGTTTCTCGACTTGTGGAAGGGCCCAATCTTAGGATGTGAAGGTGTCCCACGCATGGGACAAGGCACTGAAAAAACAGGTTAAGCCACCAAAGCAAAGAGCGGAGCTGTGTGGTGACAGGGCTATACACATGCGTCCCTGATGGCTCCTTCAGGAATTACGAAGCTATAGTTCAATTCCTAACGTTTTCAGGCCACAGCCCCTGGCACTAGCTCCCCTCTAGCTTACCCAGTCTATGGGCTATGCATTTAAGGTGCTAGATTCAGAGAGCCCCTGCTGAGAGGCCATGTGGCAGAAAGAAGAGCTGCTCTCCTTGCGGGGGTGCAGCGGGAATGGAAAAGGGAGGATAGCTATGGGGATCCATCCCAGAATCAGCCTAGATGGTTACAAGCACACCCCTGCCACCAACCTGCAGGGGGAAGCGGTATGAACCTATCAGCTCAGGCACAGCTGACTGGCTCTCGGAGAGCTGTTAGCACAGGAAAACAGCCTCACGTTTCACCTCTCCCAGGACAGGCTGGCCACTGGTAAGAGGTCAGAGGGAGAGGGCAGCAAGAAGATGCTTAACTACAGCTAATCGAAGCCTTATTCCCAGCTTCTCGTCTGCGATGAAATCTGGTAGAAGGGCACAGGGCTTAAGATGCACTTTCCCTAGTGGAGGGCCAAGCTTGCTGATGCCCTCTGCTGCCTTCTGTGGATCTCCAAAGGAGACTTTAACACCCCCTGCCCGCCACACACACATTCTGTTAAACTGCAGTTCTAAAAGATAGGAACGCCAAGAAACTGCCACCTGTATCTTCTCCCCAACATTAATACAGACTTGTGTCTCACCCTTTAAAACCTCTACATCTTTCTAAAAATAGATAGAGCTATATATATAATTTGTCTTTGCAACAGTCAACTTTACTCCTTTGTTAAGTAGCCAAAAAACCCCTCTACAGTCAAGGCCCACATGGCTGGTGAGGAACAAGAGCAGAGAACAGGGAGACAGTTGTGGACAAAGTCAGCTAGGCACTACCAAACTGTCAGAGTGAAGATGTCAAGCAGCATCCACCAAAACTCCCATGATGAAAGGAAATGACTTAGCTCCAGCAAGTGGTTTCTGACTGCCCCCGAGGTTCATTTCCATTTCAGTTGATGAGCTTTCCAGCCTCTTTCCAGGAATACACCACACTAGATGCAACTCATCACACTAAGATTTTTTTTGGGGGGGTTAAAACAAAAAAAATTGTTTAGTACAATTTGGGTCACACTTGCAAAGGCAAGTAAGGCTAATGACTCAGTCCCCAGCTGCTGATCCAGCCAGTACTACTGGAAGCCCTTCCTTGTGAGAGCAACACAAGAGGGGTGGGAGGAAGGAGTGGGGACCACAGAACTGTGACACTGACTAGCCCAAGTGACCAATCCGGCAGCCCTGTTGTCTGCCAATGGCTTAAGAAAAACGTGGGGCCCAGCAGCTTGCATGCGGTGAACAACCTCTCTGCAGGTCTAGTTGCAGAGGGATGCTGGGCATTAATGGCTCCCAGCTAGTCTGTCCCTTTTACACACACACACTTACAGTCCAGGAGAGAAATGTATGGAATCTTTACTGCGCTCCAGCTGCTCTGCCTTCACTAAAAGGAATTATGGGTCAGGCCTGGGGAGAAACAAGAAATCCAGATTCCTTCTGGACTGCCAGAGATCAATGAGAGAACGGGCTCAGGACAGGCTCCTGGACTCTGGTTCCGAGTGAGTTTCGGAGCAGGCTGTACTGTCCACTGCTGTTGGGCAGGGGGTGGTCTCCCCATGGTCCCCAAAAGCACTATCCAAATGCTTGACCAGATCAGTATCTTGCATGAGGGGCTGAGGGGTCTCTGCCAGGTTACTGTTTGCAACATAGTCCTTTCCGCTAGGTTCTGCTTGGCTGAATGACTCCCCTGCAGCCGCAGTCTGCTTGGGAAGGGAAGGACTGGGGACAGATGCACCATCCTCCTGTGCGGGGACAAGGGGGGCACTGGCAAGGGGGGTAGCTGGTGTGTCTTCTGCCCCAGGGGGTGCATCAGTTGCAGTAACCACAACTGCTGAAGAGACCTCAATAGTAACGGAGCCCACAGCAGTCTCCACATGGTCGCTACCGACTCGAATTTGGGCTACCAAGCTTGAAGCAGCAGCGACAGCAGCATCCTGTGGGCTCCCACTGGACATGGTTTCGTTCACCACGTTCGGCTCCAAGAGGGTTGTGCTCAGGTCAGACAGAAACGAGGCTTCTGTGATGACAGCAGCAGTTTCAGCTACCCAGTTCAGATCACTCCCTACAGAAGAGGCTGTAGCAGCTGCAATGGCAACAGCCCTGGGATCCTCGCTGGGGGCCAGAGAACTGGGGCTGCTGCTGTCTGCGGCTGGACTCGCTCCTGGATGGGGCCGCCTGCTGCCCATGTCAGTGGGGGCAGCCGTCGTATTGTTGTTGAGGTTGTCCTGAAGTGTTGTTTGGGTCCCTTGACCCACCTGCTGGTTCTGCAGCAGCATCTCTTGGATTCTAATCTGCTGGAGGATGGCTGGCAGCTCATAATGATGGAAGAAATAGATCATGGAGTGCTAGGGAACGCAAAGGGAAAGGGGTTACTTGTTGGCCAAGAAGGTTTTTGCTGCAGCCCTGTAGAAAGTCTGCGGATTGGTTCCCTTAACTGTTGTAACCACAAGAGCAGGGGAGTAGCTAGGCTGCTCTGACTCATACGAGAACCAGAAACATTCTGGATTTAGAGTCAAACCTAGACATTTTGGGAAGGATTTTCCACCTTTCACTGTGGTCCCTAGAGGCCTCTCCAGCAGCTTAGTGAGGTCATAAAAGCCCTGCAACCAACCAGAGAACCACAGAATCCAAGCCTCTTAAGGAGGGATGGGGAGGAAGAAGGCAGCCAGGAATATCTGGAGTTTCTATGGACAGCTGACTGCAGGCTCACAGCTGGTGAGAGGTGTCAGGTCATCACCCAGGGACACTCAAGGCCTCTAGCCACAGAGCAGGGACATCAGGCAGCAGCAGTGCAAGCTTCCTCAACACCATTCAACCATCACCACAGGCGTCACCTGGGAGTTCAGCATATGCCCATTCAGTCCCTGGCCCCCGAGTCACAACCCTCACAAAGATATCATTTAGGAAGGTGCCTTATGTCCTCTGGACAGCTATCCAGTCGGTATTTGACTGAGACACTCCCCCCTCAAAACTCACTTGCCATTAACTCTCAGCCATTTTATGGGTCCAACTTTAAGTCAATAATGGCCACAGCCAGATTTGAGCCCATGACCTAGAAGTCCAAGGCCCTGTATCTTAAGAGATTTGGCAGTTTCATCCACCTCTATTCTCATGTTCCCAGGAAGCACACAAATCTCTTGGTTAAGTAAAGACGTCTGTTCAAACCCTGCTTTGTAACAGCTTTTATAGTCTACATTGTGGCAGTCAGTGACTTGGGGGTAATTTACTCTAGCCTGTGTCCATCCATGCATAGCCATACAAGTGGCCTGATCAGTTTCTGACTTGATATTGTAAGCCCTAGATTTCTATCCAGCTCCCTCATA